TAGGCAGTGTATAGTTGGTTGTTGTTTTTTATCCATTCAGCCTGTCTGAATCTTTGAAATATGGGGAGTTTAATCTGCTTACATTTATGGTTATTATGGATAGGTGCGGACTTACTCCTGCCATTTTATTGATTGTTTTTTGGGTGTTTTTTTGTTTTGTATATCCTTTGTTCCATACTTCTTCTCTTAATGTCTGTTTTCACAGTTGGGTGGTTTTCTACAACGATGAGTTTTGATTTCTTTCTCTTTGTTCTTTGTGTATTGGCTCTACCAGTGAGTTTTATAGTTTTGCATCTTTTCAGGATGTTAGTTATTGTCTTTTTCGTCCCAAATGTAAGACTCCCTTGAGCATTTCTTGTAAGGTCAATCCTAGTAGTGGTGAATTTCCTTAGATTTTGATTGTCTGTGAATGATTTTATTTCTCCTTCATTTCTTAAGGGTAGCTTTGCTGGGTATAGTATTCTTGACCAGCAGGGGTTTGGTTTTATTGTTTTTGTTTTTTTCTTTCAGTACTTTGAATATATAATCCCATTTTTTTCCTTTTATGTGACTTGGCTCTCTTTATTTTGCTGTTTTTAGAATTCTTACTTTGTCTTTGACTTTTGGCAATTTGACTATAATGTGTCTTAGAGAGAACCTGTTTGGTTGAATCTATTTGGAGTTTTTTGAGCTTCCTGGACCTAGATGTCATTCTCTCTACCAAGAGTTGGAAAGTTTTCAGCCATCATTTCATTAAATATATTTTCCATATTCTTTCCCTTCTTCTCTTCTGGAATGCCCATAATGCAAAGATTTGTTCACTTAATGGTTTTCCATACTTCCTGTAGGCTTTCTTCATTCTTTTAAATTCTTTTTTCTATTTGTTTTTTTTGTCTTTCTGTGTTATTTGAAAAGATCTGCCTTCAAGTTCAGCAAGTCTCTGCTTGGTCTAGGCTGTTGTTAAAGCTCTTGATTGTGTTTTTTGTTTGCTTCATTGAGTCTCCAGCTGTAGGATTTCTGGTTCTTTTCCTATGATATCTGTCTCTTTGTTGAATTTCTCATTTAAATCATGAATTGTTTTCCTGATTTCATTGAATTATCTATGTTCTTTTATATCTTACTGAGTTTACGTAAGATTATTATTTTGAATTCTTTTTCTGGCATTTCATATATTTTCTTATGATTGGGGTCTGTTACTGGAAAATTATTGTGTTCCTTTGGAAGTGTCATATTTCCTTCATTTTTAATGTTTGATTTGTTGATTTCTATAGATCAATTTCTATACATCTGCTCTAACAGTCACTATTTCTGATTTTATGGAATAAATTTTGCAGGGAAAGACTTATTTGTTTAGATGGGTCTTGGGATGTCAGTTTGGTGGGAATGTGTTGGATTTAGATCTAGGTGGACATAGTAGTCTCCACACAGTTTCTTCAGCTGGAATCCACACTAGTGATGTTTGTGAATGTCTTGTGACCTAGGCTAAAAGCATTTGTGGCAGTGGTGGGGCATCTTTGCCAGGGTGGGCTTTTAAGGCTGTTTTCTCAGGTCAGGGTCACTTTGTGTGCATACAGTGGGTCAGTTTGGAGTCTGGTTCCCTGGGGTTGGGGTTATTACTCTGACTAGGGGCACAGGTATATAGTTACCCAGCTTGCTTTGGGGCATGTCAGCTGCTCAGTGGCTCAGGGACCTCTCCCACTCAGGGCACACACAGCAGTTTTGCTGGCTCAAAGGCAGACTCTTTGCTAGACCATTCCTCTAGCTGGAAGTGCAGGCGGCAATGGTTGATTTCTCTGCTATACAACACCAGAGTCACGGCTGATCCTGGACCCAGCTGGAGTTATGGTGTTAGGCTGCCCTGTGAGCTTCGTGAAATGAAAATGGAGCTCCATTACTGGAGAGGTACGGTGGCTACCGGTCTCTAAAGGAGGGCACTCTCCACAGGTGGCTCCTGATCTCAAGATGGTGCTGTGCAGCAACAGCTTGGCCCACAGGGTCTGGGTCAGGGGTTGAGAAGTACACACTTTGTGCTCCTAATCTGAAGCAATCCTGCTGCATGAATTCTTAACATCTCTTCCAGTGAAGCTCAGGTCTTACAAGGACTGTAGGTATTTGTGGTGGCATTGGAAGCTGGTGGGTTTTTCTGCTTATCTTTCCCCTACAAGGGGAATTCATTGTCTTCAAGCTTATATGATCCAGATGGAGGACATGGGGTTGTAGAGGACAGGTGCTTCCACACTGCCCTTCTGGGCTTCCAGTCACCACAGGTGCCACTCTACTGCCCTGTTTCACTCCAGCACTCTTCTTTCAGCACTCCAGTCATATCTGTTTATTTGTTGCCTTGGTCCTTTCTTGTGTAGGGTATGAGTGCCAGGCATCCATAGTTAGCCATCTCACTGATGTCATTCCTAAATATAACTTTTATATGTCATGAAAAACCAGAAAATTCATGTGACTCATTTTATCATGATATTTACTTTATTACAGTGGTCTGGAACCAGACCTGCAATATCTCCAAGGTATGCCTGTGTACAGTTCAGTGGTATTAATTCCATTCATATTGTGCAACCATTACCACTATCCATTTCCATAACTCTTTTCGTCTTATAAAGCTGAACCTCTACATCCATTAAATACTAACTCCTCATTTCCCACCACCCCAGTTCCTAGCAACCACCATCTGTTTTCTGTCTATATTATTTTGACTACTTTATCTGATACAAGTGGAATCATACAGTATTTGTCCCTTTGTTACTGGCTTATTTTACTTAGCAAAATGTCCTCAAGGTTCAACCATGTTGTAGCATGTGTCAGAATTTCTTTCCTCACATTTTCCTTACTCATTTATCTGTTGATGGATATGCGGGTTGCTTCCATATTTTTGCTATTGTGAATAATGCTGTGACAAACATGGATGTACAAATATCCCTTTAAAACCCTGCTTTTGCTTCCTATGGGTATACTCAGAAGTAATATGGTAAATTTTATGTTATATGTATTTTACCACATTTTTTAAGAAACCACATAATCAAGATGAAGTCAATAAAAGCTTTGTTTTGATATGGAAAATCATGTCATTTTAAGGCAAGGAGATGAAAATTATTAAATAAATAAATACCACCATTACCACCCTCTCTTGAATTCTCACCTAAACTCTAAATCTTCCAAATAATGCATACAGAAATCTAAAAGTGGGGAGAAAGAGGAAATTGATTGCTTACCTGACAATTCCATCTCTCTCACTCAATCCTTTTCTCTTTTAATTTAGAGAATTCCAGACTCTCTGATCCAGCACATAAAGCAAACATCAATTTAGATTTGCCCTATATTCTTAAAGACTAAAAATAAAGGTCTTAGCATGCATTGTTTTGACTAAAATGATCTTATAGCTCAATCCGAGTCAACAACGTTACTTATTTATTATAGTAGTAACTGCAGTATTAAGCTGCACTAGTATTATTACAAATGCAGTCTAGATTGGCCAGGTCACTATTACGAATATTACATCTCATTTTAAAGGAACATTGAGAGACTGGAATGTCTCCATAGGCAAGTAAACAAGATGGTGATGAGTCTCAGAAACATGTATCAAAGGAACTGGGGATGTTTCATCTTAAAAACAGACAGCCAAGACAGGACCTGTTATCTAGGAATTTATGTGGAACATGAGTATAAATTACAGAAAGACAGATTTCAATTTCACATTTAAAAAATAGTTTTTTTCACTAACAATTGCCCAACAGGCTTCCTTGTGAGGAGATATACTCCACACAAGAAGTTTTCAAGAAGGTACCTTACTTTCTGTTTGAGGAATTGTATGGAGTTGTACGGGAAATGCCTTCTTGGTGGTCTCTGGGACATTTATTTGGAGCCCCAGAGCTTTAAGGAATCCAGTTTGAAAACCACTGATCAAGACCTTAACAGCCAGATTAAAAATCTAGCTATTCCAAATGTTTATTTTCCACTGAAATTATTGAATGTAAAAAATGAGGAGCCATTGAAAGATTTTAAGCAGAAGAGTGACATGTTTTGATTTATGTTTAGAAAGGTCACTATGTTGACAATATTCCATACTGTCACTATTCCATAATTAAAATCAAAATGAACATACCAGAAGCAAGGAGACTAGTCTGGAAGCTGCTACAGTGGACTAGGCAAGAAATAATTAGAAGCTAAACTATGACAGTAGAAATATGTACGGAGAAAAAGGGTTAAATTTAAGCATCTCTATTGAGAAGTAGAACTGAAAAGACAATGATCAGTTTGACGTGATGGGAAGGGAGGAGTGTGAGCTAATTCTCAACTTTATTACTTTGGGGATTGAGTAAATAATGTCCACGTTAGCAGAGATAGAATATGTGGGAGGAGCCACAGGTTTGAAGGGAAAGATCTTGAATTTAGTGTTAGGACTGGTAAGTTAACTGGTAACTCACCTCAGATCAAGTTGTCTGATAGCAAGCATTTGCAAAGTCAGATGTGGAACTTAGGAGCAGGGTCCGGGTTGGAGAAATAACATTGGGAGACATGGATGTAAATATGACAGGCAAAGCCATGAAGTCCAAGGAGAGGGGGAATCAGCTAGACAGACTATGAGGGAGCAATTAAATTGATATAAGAGGAACCTAGCTAAGTCCTTATAATGCCCTATAGCCGATAACGTACAATGACAATAACAATGTAGGCTTAAATGCGAAAAACCAAAAATACTTAGGTTTTTAAAATTTACTTCTTTTAACAAATTTCAAATGCAGCTGAAATGATTTTGAATAAAATTATAAAAATTCTAAAATTTCAAAATGTTTCTATAAGAATATTCTGGATCTTTGCCTAATGATTAGTTTAATTTTTGTTTGGCCTGGATATTTTTATCTTTTTCATTCTTATTTTGTTTTACTTTGTTCTTCATGAAATTGACTATGTTGGCCTTGGATCTGACCACTACAAATTTATTATATGGCTCCATAAATACTTATTTAAATGAAAAGCTTATATACCTTCCTTATGTTCTTTGTTTACCTAAGGAAATGCAACTTCACCACAAGTACAAAGACCATCTTTCATGGACTACTTTGATAAGCAGGACTTCAAGAATAAGAGTCATGAAAACTGTAATCAGAACATGCATGAACCCTTTCCTATGTCCAAAAATGTTTTTCCTGATAACTGGAAAGTTCCTCAAGATGGAGACTTTGACTTTGTAAGTACATTTTAATTCTCCCATTCATGTTGTCTTCTGTGTTTTATCATCACATTGAGAAGCAGAGTGTATGAATATATGAACTATGTATATATGTACAAATTATAGACTGTATATTAATATTCAATATACAGCCACATATATGGGTAGGAAAATTGTGAAATTATAGTTCACTTGTAGAAAGGTACTTGCAGAGAAATGTAAATAATTTCTAGTAAAATAAATAATAGTTTAAATTTACACAGGTTATTTGGGACTTCTTAAAACTAAAATGACAACTATTTCAAAAGATGTTTTCAATAATGCAAATATGAGGTAATTCTGACAATCAGGAAGCTCGGTTACCAAAATAAATGAGTGTTTGTGACATAGACTTTGAGAAATTTGCTTCAACTTTGAAAGTTAACTAAATTAGTTTCTACTTCAGTGTTAATTCCACTTGGTTTGTCAGAAATAATAGTCTCATTCTATATCTAAGTAGCATATAAACTTCAATATAAAACTGTGCCTTATCATGTTTTTTTGTTACATTTTATTTCTTCTGCCCTGTTTATCCTCCTCTCCCGTCCCGTTTTCCTTTTCCTTTCCTTTCCTTTCCTTTCTTTCTTTCCTTTCGTTCCTTCTTTCTTTCCCCCCTCCCCCACAGGGTCTCATTTTGTTGCCTGAGCATGAGGACAGGAGGGCAGTGGTGTGACTGTAGACTGCCCAAAGCAGTCTACAGATCATAACTAACTGCAATCTGAAACTCCTTGGCTCAAGGAGTAGCTCAGACTACAGGTGGCGCATGCTACCATACCCAGCTAATATTTCTATTTTTGTAAAGACGGTGCTATGTTGCCCAAGATGGTCTGGAACTCCTGGCCTCAAGTGATCCTCCCACCTCAGCCTCCCAAAGAGCAAGGATTACAGGCTGTGAGCCACCACCCCCAATCTATTATTTCTTTTAAAGAATGCATAGAATACAGATGAACCATTTTAAAGCAACTGTTTCCAGAACTTGAAACAGTAAATTCTCAAAATGAATTCTTTAAAGGAATGAAAATTTTATAGTTTAAATTTTTACTTTAGCATGTTTAAACAATAATGTTACTTCTACATTTTGTTTTGGAACATATTTTTTTCCAAATAAGTCTATAATCCTGTAAGCTGCTTTATAGTCATATTTACTAATCCTTTATAGTCATATTTACTAATATATTTATAAGTAAATAAATTTTAGATATATATCTCTCTAAAATTTTTAAGAATAATATTAAGCCATTTTGCTTAAGCATCATGACTCTAAATGCTTTGGGATTATAAATATTTTGAATTTTAAGTACTTTTCTCCTAAATATTATGATTACTTGAGTTTTTAATAATCAGATAATAAAGTTTCAGAAATATATCCCAATAAATTTAGTACTAATTGCTGGCAAATATTAGGAATATAATTCAGAGATTAGCCTGAAAATATTAATTGTAATACTTACCTAATTTTTTTCAATATCATAATAAGCAATGAGAAAAATAAAATCAGTTTCTTTAGGTTTAATAAGACTTCATTTTAAGCTACCTACTTTTTAAAAACTTATAAATTATTTAGAATGCTGACATTCAAGCTTTAAATCATTCATGAACATGATGAATAATGTACAGTGTTTAGCATCAGAAATCTGTCTTATCTCGGAATAAATATTAATAGGGAAATAGCTTGAAATGAGCTACAAAGTAATGAGTAAATTATCATAGTTAAGAAGTAGCAAATACAATAATTTAATTTTGTTTTAATTAGTCTTTCTACCACCCCAAAACTTAGTGGCTTAAAATAATAACTGTTTTACTTGCATCAAAACCACAATTTTGTGGGTTAACAGTTTGGCTGGGTTCAGCTAAGTAATTCTTCTGCTGGTCTCACCTGGCATTTCTCAAGTGGCCACAATTGTTTGCTAGCTTGACTGGGGCTGAATGATCTCTCTAAAATTCTCTCTCTCATGTGTCTGGCCATTGTACTGACTATTGGCTAGGTCATATGAACCCATCAAGCAAGCCTGGAGTTTTTATGTGGCAGTAGCAGCCTTCCTAGAGGGTGAGAACAACATTGCAAGACCTTTTGACTTCAGCTTAGAATCTGTACCATATTGTTTATAATAGCATCAGGAGGAAAGAAAATTAGGAATGATCTTAACCAAGGAGGTAAAAGACTTTTATATGCTGAAAACTGCAAAATGTTGCTGGAAGAAATTAAAGAAGACATCAATGCGTGGAAAAGTATTTCATATTCATGGATTGGAAGTCTTAATATTATTAAGATATTAATACTGCCCAAAGCAGTCTACAGATTCACTGTAATCTCTGTCAAAATCCTAATGACATTTTTTTGCATAAATAGAAAAATTCATCCTAAAATTCATATGGAATATTGAGGGACTCCCAATAGTCAAAACAGCCTTGGAAAGAAAAACAAAGTTGGAGGTCTCATATTTTCTGATTTCAAAACTACAAAGCTACTGGAATCAAAACAGTGTGGTACTGGAAGAAAGACAGACATACAGACCAATGGAATAGAGAGCCCAGAAATAAACTCTCATCCCTTTAGACAAATGATATTTCACAAGGGTGCCAAGACCATCCAATGGTGTAAATGTCAGTCTCTTCAACAGATGGTGCTGGAAAATGGGATATCCACGTGCAAAAGAATGAAATTGTGCCCTTACCTAATACCACATACAAAAATGAACTAAAACTATAAAATTCTTAGAAAAAATATAGGGGGAAAGCTTCATGACATTGGATTTGGCAATGACTTTTTGGATATGGCTCCAAAAGCATAGGCAACAAAAGAAAAAATAGATAAATTAGACTACATCAAAATTAAAAACTTTTTTAATCAAAGAACACTATCAACAGCTTGCAAAGGCAAACAATAGAATGGGAGAACATATTTGTAAATTGTATACCCAATAAGAGATTGTATGTATGTATATGATTGTATGTATGTATGAGATTGCCAGTATGTATATGAACTCCTACAACTCAGCAGCAACCCAAAAAACAAACAACCCATTTCAAAAATGGGTAAAAGATTTAAATAGATATTTCTATTTATCTTTATAATAGAAGATAAACATGGCTAATAAGCTCATGAAAAAATACTCAATATCACTAATCATTAGAGAAGTGCAAATCGAAACCTCAGTAAAATACTACTTCATGCCCATTTGGATGGCTATTATGAAAAAACAGGAAATAACAAGTGTTGGTAAAGATGTTGAGAAATTGGAACCTTATACCTTGTACACTGTTGGTGGGAATATGGTATAGTCACTATGGAAAACAATCTGGTGGTTCCTCAGAAAAATTAAATATAGGATTGTCATTTCCAGCAATTTCACTTCTGGGTATACATCCAGAAAGCAGGGCCTTGAACAGATATTTGCATACCCATGTTCATAGCAGCATTATGCACAATAGCCAAAAGATGCAAGCAACCCATATGTCCATTGATGAATGACTAGATAAACAAAATGTGGTATATACATATAGTGGAAGATTACTCAGCATTAGAAAGGAAGGAAATTCTGCAATATGCTACAACATGAATGAACCTTGAATATATTATGCTAAGTGAAATAAACCAGTCACAGAAGGACAAATGTTGTATACTTCTACTTATGTAAGTTACCTAGAGTGGTCAAATTCATAGAGATAGAAAGTAAAATGGTGATTCCCAGGGACTGGGGGGAGTGAGAAATAGGGAGTTATTGATTGTTTGGGTACAGAGTTTCAGTTTTGCTAAAAAAAAGTTCTGGAGCTGGATAGTGGTGATGATTATGTAAGAGTGTGAATGTACTTAATATCACTGAACTAGACAGTTAAAAATAGTTAATTTTATGATTTGTATATTTTACCATGATAAAAAAATAAATACATAAGAGGCACTAAAAAGAACTTGCATAGTGTCACTATAGCCATATTCTGTTAGTAAAATATGTCAGAAGGCTAGTTCATATTCAAGGGATATGGAAATAGATTTCACCTCATGATGGGAGGAATAGCAAAGTCACATTTGCTCAGGGTCCAATGGGATGAAAGGAATTGTTACAATCCTGTTTGCAAACAATCTACTAGAAAATGTGATAATTAAAATTCAACAGAAATTATAACGTTGAATTTGGGGAATTAGAATTCATTAATGATTTTGATAATGGCCATTTCAGTACTTCTAAAATGTTGACACAAACCCAACTTTTGCATGTAGATTTCTGTGTCTCTCTTAGGCTCATTCTAGTTTTGTGAATTAATTTTTCCAGTGGCTAGCTCCTATAAGCAAACTTTCGGTAACATTTTCAGCCCATCATAGATTTTGGAGTTATTCTGTCTGGAAATTCTAAAATTTGTTAAAAAGCATTAAGCTAATTAAACAAATGTTCTACTTTCTGCTTTGTATTGTGCTAGGCCATGTGGGTAAAAATAAATAGTATATACTGATTTATTAAGAAGATAAGGTATGAATTAATGAAATGGCTAGTTATAATCCAGACATTGCTTTGTGGTTTGGATAAGAGGGGGATTTAGTGAAGGCTAAAGTTTATGAAATTATAATGTAGCGGGTCACTTTGTCTAAGCATTGAAAGATGGATAGCAGAAAAAGGGAAGGCAAGCACTATATGGAATGATGTATGTAATAAAAGCTTAAATAGAAAAGCACAAGGTGTAATGAGTGACAATGAAGTAGAGACCTTCGAGTTTATTGTAATTAATTTGGAACAATATGGGAGATAAAATGGTAAGGTAGGTCCACATCAGATAGTGGAAGCCTTGCAAGATTGCAGAATTTGAATTCTTATTTTATAGACAGTGGAGAGCCACTGAAGGTTTTTAAGTTGGAGAATGACGTGATGAAAAGTATCTGAAGAATATTAATCCTGAGGATAGCATGTAGGATTGATTAATAGGAAAAGACTAGAGGTAGGGGAAATCAGTTATGCAGTATGGGTTTGGAATAATGTAATGGAAAA